CATCCCACTCGCCACACCTTAACACTCGTATCCAGCACGTTACTTCGTCCACTCCTGTAAAGAACGGTGGCCTCGACTTGCCTCCCCTCTCTCTCTCTTAGTCGACTTACGCTTGATAGAATAGCCGACCTCTGAATGAAACTTCCGCAAGAACGTGAACAGATTCATTACGATTTTCGAAACATTTTCCCGGGCGCAGCCGTCATCACCGGCCCCGATTAACTAATGACTTATGACATAAACTAACGCTACCATCGTGTTCGCAATGCCTAAAAACCCCGAGCTGGCCTATCCCCCGCCTGCATCTACTAAAAAAAAAACGAGACACCTCAGTCGTTTTATCCCCTTCTCTTCCGTAGCTCCACGCAGCCCATCTCCATGCTAACCTCAAATCGACTTACTAACTCTCAAATCCAACCCTGCCGTTGGATTCGCAGCCCCTTCAAACCTCTGAAACGCAACCTCTCTTGCCCGATTTCATCAAGAATCGGGCGAGCTTTGTACTTTTCCCCACTTCTCTTCTCCTTCGTCCCTCCGCCATAGCTTTGGTGCACCGATTTCTCTACTAACCCACTATTCTACTAATTCCCTACTAAGACTAACTTCACAATCCACCTCGCCTACACCGATAACCCCTACCCATCACCTTTCCCCACTTGTTTTCGTTAGGAAACGGGCGGGGCGTGCTCTCTTTCTCCCCGCCACCTCCAACAACGGATGCACCCGGTGCGGACTACGTGCCAGGTTCATTCACCTTTCTCCACGGCCCCGCTAGTCCGCCCGCTGTTACCCGGCGCTGCTCGTCTCGCTCCGCTTCACAACCCACTTCTACCACGCCCTCTGCACTCAGTCGTTCACCACCGGTAGCGCCGGACTCGTCACCCCGCCGCCCCTCTCACGCACGTATCCCACCCGGATTCGCACCGGGTTCATCCCTCTCGCTGTTGTTTCCCCCCCCCTGTTTCGAATATACCTGGCGCCGCCCGCGTCCAGGTTCACCCGCCTCTACTACTTCACCCCTTCGACCGCTGCTGTCCTGGTTCATCGACCGTTTCACTGCCTTACCTCTAGCGCCCGTCGCCATGCTACCGCGGTATGCACAGTCGGCCTCCTCACCACACATTCCCTTACTTAGTACTACCCGATGACTTGCGGCCCACCTCACTAGCGCACCGCACCGGCCAGCGCAGCCCGGTCTCAGCGTTCCTCCTCTAGACTACGGTCGGAAGGTATCTTCCCGTGGGCGAACTTAGCACCCGCTACCTAGACCAATGCTGCCCACTACTGTGCAGGTCGGCAGGAGAAAGAAACAGACCCGACAGGCTGCGACAACTATCCTTCGGGAAACTCCGGAGGGAACTAGCTACTAGACGGTTCGATTAGTCTTTGCCTCTATACCCAAGTCCGACGAACAACAGCTCCGGCTATCCTGAGGGAAACTTCGGAGGGAACCAACTACTAGACGGTTCGATTAGTCTTCGCCTCTATACCCAAGGCCGACGAACGAATTCCTGGGCAATTGCTGCTCAGTTGGTATCGCTGCGAGCCTCCACTAAGGCTCCCTTCTTGACTCAGCGCCCAGTCTCACAGCCGAGGTCTGCCAAATAGTGGGTAGCCATTTACCCGCTAAACCAAACAATCCCTGGTCAGACGACCCTACAGCCGACGACACATACTCAGCCATTGAGGCGACGCAAGTGGAAAGGCACCGGCCTTGCAACAACATCTGCCGCTCGTACTCAAACAGTCGGTCGTTGCGCCGCCTGCTGCTAATCCTAACGTGGGCCCTGGCKTGCTGGGCCCAGTGCTTCTCTAGGCGGTAGTAGCAAATGGTCAAATGAGAACTTTGAAGACCGATGTGGAGGAGGGCTYCGCAAGCCCGTCGGGCACTCAGTGCGGCTGCGCGCCTCATCGCTGTCTGCCTCTTCTGGTCCCAATGAGCATGCACACACCCAACCCTCTTCCTGCCTACGTCGGGGCCGGACTGCACATCCACCACAACCCGCGCCACCACCGGGTTGCAACCGCACAGACCCGCTCGGAATGCTCTCCACGTTCCCTTCCACTTTAGGCTATCGACGCTCTCCAAGTGGGAAGCGAGGGAAACCACGACCACGGACTATGGACTCCTCCCTTCCCTCACGCGTTGGCCTCCCTGGTCCGAACTTCAGGACGGACGGGGTAGGGGAATTCCGCCAACATCCCGACAAACCGGAACCCGAACGGACTTGCTAAGAGAGGCGCGTGCTCAAATTAAACGGTACCAACGAAAAATAATAGTAAAATGATCATAAAAACTTTCAGTCGCCAAAGGCAAGATAAAGGATACTGCCTGCACCGCTCTGACGCCGTCAATGGCAAAACCAAGGGGATAGCCCTACGGCCCTCAACCCCATCGGCTTCCTCCTCGATGCTCCCCTGCCGCTGCGTCGCCGCTCGCCGACCTCGATCCGTGAACCTTCGTAATGTCAATCCAATGTCGTAACCTATAGGGCTAAGCCCAAGCCTGAGACCAGCGCCCGCAGAATACCATATAGGCAGTGCGGTGCGACGCTTTGGGCCAACAAACCGGCTGCGCGGCTCCCATTCGCCCGCGCCGGCTTGCTTATATCGCGCCATAATTGCCCCGCGCGCCATCCTACGACACCCCGCTTACCGCACGAAGCCGCGCCGTCGTTGCCATCGCCGTTGTCGGGGCCGTCTTCCGTACGCGCGTTCGACTTGGTCAAAAGTACCAATTAAAAAAAAAAAATCCTTAATTCCTTAATAATAATAATAATAATAATAATAATAATAATAATAAAATAATATCACCAAGCAAAACGACCGAGGTCCGGACCGGCTTTACCATTAAATAACAGAAAAAGAATCACGCGCGCCTTAAACCTGCGTGCCCACGCACTCGCTATTGCGGTCAACCACCAAGTCAAAGCAATTACTGACGCAGCCGTGCTTAGCGGGGTATACTTCAACTCTGGACCAAAACTATTTTCTGTCACTTGCAAAAACCAGAGCGGATACCCTTGTAAGGGTATTCGCACCGACAGCTTACCGGACGATATTAAGCGACGTCCCCGTCGCTTCGCCAAATAAGAAAGCTAAAAATTCATCCACACCCCAAATGCTGACGAAACAGGAGCCAATCCGATTAGCTGACAAACACAGGGTAGAGGCCCCCATCAAACCATGCCTTCACAACTATATGCTGCCAGGTTTCTAACTCGGGTCTCTCACCGTCCAAGATTAGGACCTTGGTAGCATAAGTTCCGAAGACCTTCCCAATCGTCCTCTTCCCGATCCTAGACAACCTTCGGCTTTTCGTTGGGTGTCCCCAGTCTTGGCAAAAACTAGGGACGCGGGCCTTAATTGAGACCTTTTGAAGACACTCTCGCCTTTCTTCTCAAAATTTTCTCGCAATCAAATACACGCAAGTATATATGTATACTTAAAATTCGCTTTGCTCTTTCTGCAGTCTAGTACAGAAAGGCTAGGTCTCCACCTTGGCCCACCATAGCCTGGCTGATCGGACCAGGACCACGGCCCACCGCATTGCTATTTAACGATAGTACCTTCGTTGGTTACACAACGATAGGTTTCCTCCGGGTAAACACTCACTCAGGATTACCCCCAAAAATTTTCAACCATCATTATCCCGCAGAGTAATTTCACTGGGGCGGGCACCCCCCTTAAACTCTTACCCCGCGGTCCCGCAGCCAGGTTGCGCCGGCTAGCAGCCATCCAATGGGGTTACGCCCTAGAAGTACTAACTTCTTTTCCGTTAGCTTGGTCTTTCTTCAACATGTCTCAGGATTAACACTAGTGGTTAGATGGGGCATCGCAAAATAAAATCACTGGTCCACTGCACAATGCGCAGGGGTCCGAAGGCATTTACCAGCCCTCCCTCACTAGGCATGGCATCCTTCGCACGCTTACAAACAAAATCAGCGCTAAATCCACCAGGTCGTGACCCCTGACTTGATCAGAGCCAGCAGCTACCCACCCTGAGACATCTCTCGCCCTGCACTCATTGCGACTTTCTCAAACATCCCAAACAAAAGGGACTCTTTTTCGTCATGCTTTATCACTCATCAAACAACTCACCATGCTATAAATCAGTTTACTCACTTTCGAAGGTGAGTCTTCCAACAACAACAACGACAACCCCTTTTCCAAAAAAATCCAAGGGATTCTCATCATAAACAAAACACCCCCTCTTCCAAAAGTCACGAGGGGTCTTGCCATAAAACCAAACTTTCCGTGCTAAAAAATCGAGGGGGTCTCATCATAACACACAACATCACAAAACATCCCCTTTCCAAAAGTCCAAGGGGGCTTATCATAACAAAATAACTGAGAGACCATCTTGTGGGTCTTCATCACTACTTATGCAATCAATAATCAATATGGTAAGCATTTTGAGCCTCCAGGGCTCATAAATCTTCAAAATCCTCACAACCTTTCACAGACGGGCTGCTCTTCCTCCCCTTATACTCTGCCTTATCAGCTGTTCGTGGGCAGGTCGCACAAGCATACCGAGGAGTAGACAGTTTTGCTTATAATCATATTTACAGTTCCCATGACATATAAGAGGTTTTTCACACATTGTCCACACAAACTCATCATTCATCAGAGTACAACCACACATGTGAGGAAGACAAGTGATCGTCACATATAAGAATGGTCCCTGAAAGAAACTTCATCATGATATACACTCAGGGAAATAAAATGTCTCACACAGAAAAAAATGTCTCCAAATCATAACTCACTCAACTCAAACCACACCAAATCTACACTGACAACTACCCCAAGAATACATGTCAGATCTGTCTCTCAAAAGCCAGGGCGTAGGCCACCTAAATATGTACATGCCTCATCTAGATTACCCTGATCCTCAAGATCCCAGCTCAGTAGGAACATTAGAGTTCAGATCTAGACTAGTAACAATCCTCATAAAAGCCTTCTAGGTCTAAGAGGGTATTACACACAACCTAAACTGATGTCTCACAAGATACTCGCCCACTTATATAGCCAAACCGGCTCTACCTTTTCAACTCTTCCTGGTTTTGTCTATATAACTGAGCCCTAAGTCCATCTGCGGACTTCTCTACTATCCTACCCTGCCTATCATACATCTTACCCCCTGCCTCTGACACCTTTCCTTCTGCCTTATCCTTAAGGAACTCGAGACAGTCCAAAGCCAGATGCGCGCCCCTCTTGCAATAAAAGCATAACTGATCAACCTTCCTCTTGAACTTCTTCTTCTTGGGCCGAGGAGGTGGCGATGAAGGAGATCCCACCAAGGTACTGACAACCCCCTGCTGCTTTAATCGAGGAGTTGCGGTACTAACGACCTCCTGCTGTTCTACCCCAGGAACCAGTCCTTCAGACCCAGATCCAGTAGCCCAAGATCCCAGTCTGCTCCTCAAATCCTCTATCACTGGGACGTACTCAGACGTATCTAATCTCTGAGGTCTCCTCTCGAGTGTCTCCTCTGACACTGTCATGGGCTGTTCCTCGATCTCCTCTGGCCCATACTCAGGCGTGCCCATCCTCTGGAGCCCGCTCTCGATGACACCCTCTGCCTCAATCCCTATCTTTCTCTCAAGAGGCTCCTCTATCCTCTGCTCAGGTGAAAACAAACTCACCTCCTCCTGCATAGTATGCACCGCCTCAAGGAGCACGCCCATGGATCCCTCTGCTGAGCCCTGAGCTAGCTCACTGCTAGATGGTGGTAGCCCCTCCTCTACTGCCAAAGGTACGACTGAACCTGCCGCCGCTACTGGCAGTGTCGCGAGCCCGGTAGGAGCTCTGAACTCGAATGCCTCTCTCTCCGCCTGTCTCTGTGCTCTCGCCTCCTCTGGCTCCAGGATAACCCTCCCCATAGGTGGCTCCTAGCGAGGCTCTGCCGCAGATGGCTGTCCTGGCTACCTCTACTCTCCCTGCCGGCTGCTCTCTGGCCTGTCCACCTTTCCATGGGTTTGCTGCCTCAGGCTCCCGATGATAGCTGTCTGGCTGGCCACCAATGCCCTGAGTTCCTGGATTTCCACCTCCATAGCCTCCAGGCGTACTCCATGGCTTGCTTCCTTCATCTTCCTCCCTGCTAGATCGCTCTCTAATAACAAGTGCCGGTCAAAAGTCGTCTTGGTCGGGAACTTGATTTTGCGATCTAACCTTTCTTCTGCCGTCCTGACCACCCCAAACCCGACTCTGACTGGTGAGGGAAGCTCCTCTCCTCTTCGTTCGCAGAAGTCCCTCCACATCTCAGGGATCTCCGGGGCCCTAGTTGGCACGTTTGGTGGCTGACCTGGGAGTGCTCCTGCTGCCTCCGATCTCTGCCTTTCCTGTTGCTGCTCCGGAAGCTCCCCCGCTGCCTCCAACCTCTGCCTCTCTTGCCATATCTCATCTATCCGCCTGGTTTTTCTCGCCCTCTTTTCTTCAGCCGTCTCTCCAGCTGGCGCCCTTTCCCTCGTGCGGAGGTCGACCTTCTTTGGGATCTCTGCTTCCATCTCCTTCTCGGGCTGGCACGACTCCTGGCGCGGCTCTGCAGGTGCTGGCCCCTCCAGGTCTGGGTGTTCCAGGGCATAAGCTGCTAGGTGCCTATCAATCAGGGTCAAAGCTTCCCTCCTTACAACTGCCCTTTCTCTTCTCCTTTCTGCTCTCCCCTCTGGCGAAGGAGCCTTTTCTGATGAAGGAAATGAGACCTCCTCTCTCTTCAACCTCTCCTTCGCCTGGCGAGTGCTTCCTGGTGCATCCCCGAGTCTCAAGCCCACCGCCGACGTCTGAGGGGGCGTGTCCTTTCCAACCTCTATTACTTTCTTCCCTGCACGTCTCCCCTCATCGCCCAACCCTCTCTCTTGCTGAGTACCTTGGACCTCCTCCCGTGGCACCTCTTCTGCCTGCTCTCCATGCTCCTCACCCTGAGGCGACGCCCTCCACCGAGAAATATCTAGATGTGTCTCCAACTCCCTCAAAGGCCCTTCAGACATTGGCGGCTCCTCCTTTGTGTGTGCTGGCGACCTCCTCAATCCACCCTCAGTAAAACGATGGAACTCCACTGGTCCCAACCTACACTCAGGGTATGCCCCTCGCTCCTCAACCTCTGGCTCCTGCTCCGGCTCCTCCTCTCTCCTGGCTAGGGTCTTCCGTCCTCCTCGAGACGGTCTCGCCTCCCTGGGCTCAGGGCCCCTCTGCCTCTGACTCCTCTGACGCCTCTCAACTCTGGGCTGAGGGGGCTCTGGTCGTCGAAAGGTCTCTCTAAGATGCGCCCTGCAGCTCTCCCAGTCCCGGGCCATGTCCCTGACCTACGTAGCCAGTGCCCTCTCCGCCTTTCTGGTCCAGAGGGGTAACGTCCTCGCCCACTCATCTCTCGGTATACCTTGCCCCTGCATGAACCACTCAAAAGCAGGGATGAAGTCTGCCACATTTCCGATCTCTAGACGGATCGGCCTGCCATCTGGTCCCACAGGCGAGGGTCGCAGCTCCTGCATCCTCCACTCCACCTCTGATCTTGTCATCGCCTCTCTACGGATCCGTTCAACGGGCTCCTCGAATCTGCCGACTCCCCTCAGTCTCTCGATTGCCTGGGCTACGGTCCAGCCCATACGCCTCGCATGATCCCAAAAGTTGTCCAGGCATAGCTCGATGTCCCCATCATCGTATACCGGAGTACTCTCTCGATGGCGAGGCTCATGTCGCTCATATCCTCCTGATGCTCCCAACGGCCTCCGAGGCGGCCGTGTCTCCCTCCCTCCTCTTGGCATGGCTGTCTTCGTAAAGTCAGACTTGCACAACAGGTGAAGGAGACAACAAACACACATTGGGGTAAGCAAACAAGTGATAATCAAGCAAACTCAGACCAGACCACACTCATACAATATGCATCCTACCTAACCTACACACCCTGCTACTTCTATTCTAAAGGCAGTCAGGTCGTCTCTCTTACCTCTTCTCTCGCCACAAATTTCTTCAGTCGCGTTCCAGATACCCAATCCTTCCACTTAGTCCCATTTAGCTCCTCAATCTTGTATACCCCGAAGTCTCCGACCCGTATGATTCGATAGGGACCTAACCACCTCTTATCGAGCTTCCTGGACCACTGCTTCTCCACTGATGAATCGTAGAGAAGCACGACATCTCCCACTGCCAAGGGTACTTTCCTTACCCGCGCAGACTGATCCCATCGAGCCTTATCATCCATACGGCTTCTCGCCACCTGGTCAGACGCCTCTTGGATCCTTTCTTCTATCACCCCTATCTGTCGCGCCCGGATATCGAGCAAGTCTTCAAATGACAGGTTAATTTCCAGATCCTGGCGCCTCCATGTCTTAAGACAGCTTTCGATAGGGAAGGTGGCATGCTTTCCGTACCACAACGTTGCCGGTGCGTACTTGGTGAATCTTTTTACTGTAATATTATCGACAAAGAAAGCCACATAGGTATCTTGGCCATTGATGAGGCCTACCTTCGGTCCACTTAGCCAGGAGACCCGTAATGGTACTATGTCCTCTCTCCACGGGAGCATTTGCCTGGGGGTGCGAGGCCGTGGTGTAGTTGGCTGCTACATCATACCTTGATTACAATTCTTGCACCTCCTGGCAGGTAAATTCTGATCCCCTGTCCATTACGAATTCCCTGACGAAAGGGTAGCGCAGATAGTACTCTTCTATGCAGCTCACTAGGACTAAACCGGTCTTTGTGCGAATAGCACGCCCGTCTACGAACCCAGACAGGTTATCGCGCGCATCGAAGATATAGTTATAGCCTTGATCCCCAAGCGGCATAAAAAGTAGATCGAGATGCACTACGGCCCCCACCTCTCGCTCTAGCCTTGGATGCAGCGGCTCTCCTAGCCTTAAATGGGATCTCTCTTGGCAAGGTACGCAAGATCGGCAAAATTTTCCGACCATGTCCATCATCCCATTCCAGTAGTACAACTCACTTATCTTGGCATACGTGGCTTGTACCACTCGATGCCCTCCTGCAATGCCATCATGAAGCGCTGTTACGACGTCGATCTTACGATTCCTACCGCAGGCGACTCTCCTGGGATTCCCCACTTCTCTTCTCACGAAAAGGTGGTCGTCTCGCACTAAATAGCGCTGCAGCATCCTCTGAGCTCTATCGCTTGCATCCCTTAGCCGCATTTCACATGACAAAAGAAGCCCCAACTCTAGGTAGATCCCGTCGTACTCCTCTGCACGAAAAACCTCCTTAATTTTCCCTTCCTCGAACTCGTTGTCCTGGCTCTCGGGCACTTCGTCCACATTCCCTGCCGGGTTCAACGAGCGTGACTGGCCAAGGCTTTCCTGCAATAATGTGTTAACGAGGAGATACATTCCTCCCATCAGGTCCTCATGCCGTTCTACCTGGTCTGGTCCTTCCTCAATCGTCCTCATATCCTCCACCAGGCTATGCGAGTTGGCCAACGCTAGCTCCATCATCCACTGAACATCCTTATCACCCCAGGGATCCTCTTCTTCAAAGGGTTTGAGGACTAGTTCATCCCTTTGTTCATACCCACTTGGCGCTTGCCAAATAGGATAGCCTACACAACTGGGCACTCGCGGCGACCACTTATTGATGTGGAGACGAACATCTTTTTCCTAATCTAGAAATTTATCAACTGGGGCCGTATCCTCCACCGCCTCCCCTTCCTGTTTATCCCAGTTGATCCTACTCAGCCCGTCCGCCCAGTTCTTACTGCCAGGTATCCGTTCCAATTCGAAATTGAACATCCAGATGTACGTCAGCCATCTGGCAACCGTCGGATCCGATGGGACGTAATTCCTTAGAGAGTAGGTCAGGGCGGTCGGATCCACTCTCAAAATAAACCTCCTGCCAAAGATGTAGTTTCAGAAGATTCGCAGACAATGGAGGACGGCAAGGGTCTCTCTCTTGAACTGAGAGTAGTTCCTCTCCGTCGTGCAGAGAGTCCGGCTCTCAAATCGCAAGGGTCTTTTCTTTCCTTCCATATCTGCCTGAATTAGAACTCCCGCTAAAGCAGTCGGTCCCACATCCGTTTCGACAATGAAGGGCCGTGTCTCTGTGACGTCATAATCTGACGCTCCTAACACCAACCCTCCTTCTCGAAATTCTTCCTTCATTCTGGCTACCACCTCTACTTGTTCTTCACCCCAAACCCATTTCTGGTCCTGACGAACTAACTTCCTCAGATGTTCAGTCTTAGCGGGAAAATTCTTGACGAAAACCCTTCAAAATCCACACGTACCAAGAAAGCTTCTGACATCAGTTACTGAGTGGAACGGGACTCGTTACTTAGTAATCGTATATGTCTTCTTCACATCCGGCTTCCGACCCTTCTCGCTGCAGACGAACCCCAAAATAGTCGCTTCCCTCATGCAGTGTCTGGATTTGGTCCCGCTCGCCGTGAGGTTATGCTCCTCGAGCAGGCTCAGGATTTTTTCGAGGTCCTGGATATGCTCCCAAACAAAGCGCCTTACCCCTGGCGAGACTTCATCGCTCTCCTTCACTGCTGGCCCCTTCACCGCCAAATCGTCGATGTATGGCTGTGTAATATGGGGGCTGACTGACTGCATAACCCGAATCATGGCCCGTTGGACCATTGCTACCGCATTGGTCCACCCTTGAGGGGCCACGTTCATGTGGATTAATCCTCGCGGCGTATGCATAGCCGTCACCGGCCTATCCGGCCGGTAGACCGGAAACTGATCGTATCCTGAGTAAAGGTCTATAAGCGAAATTATAGGCCTTTCAGCACAGGATTCCGACAAAGCATCCGCATTTGACAGTCCTCCACCATCTCGCACGGTCACCACATTTAACCTCTGCAGATCTTGCACCCATCTCAGCGTCCTATTAGGCTTAATGAAGCAGAACCACGGGGACGCATACGGTCCACTAGAATAGTCGGCGACGTGTGTACTTATCTTGCCGTCGAGGTAGTCCACCACCTTCTTTTCCTCGTCAGGGTTAGGATATCGCGCCCCTCTCATGTTCCAAGGCTCGTGTGGCACGGTGTGGATGAGGATCATAGGTATCTTGTCCACATCCAGTCTGCCACGCTCTTCGTCGCTAAACGCATAGGCGCGATGCCTCCTCTTCATTAATTCCACCATCAATGTTCGCTCTTGAGGCAGTAGGAAGTCGGGTTCCCCTATAATCAACTCCCCCTCGTTCCCTTCGTTGATACGACATGGCCCTGCTAGAGCACTCTCCCTCATTCGCCGTATCAACTCTCGTTCCCTCTCGTAATATGCTTCCTCGTCCTCTGTAACGAGGACGGGAACCGGGCTGCACTTCTTGTCTACCGTCTTGTACCGCCTTTGGGAACCCTGTTTGAGCCGTCCTCTAAAAAAGGTCAACTTACAGATTGTGTTTGCGCTGATGCGGGGTGCCCTCCGCTGCTTGGGAGCCAATATACCAACTCCAACCATCCTGCCTCGGGGCATTCCAGAACTTGCTCCCTCAAGGCGTGGATGGCATCCGGATCTGCCATCTCATGCGTGGCCACCAGGTCCATGGCCTTCCCAATATCTGACAAGCTGAGGGAAAATGCTTCCACCCTCTCTCCTGCTTCGGGCTCTTCCCAGAGCCTTCGGCGCTCCCCTTCCGACTCCTCGATCGTAAATGATCCTGGATTGGGCCAGTTCCTTATACTCCTTGGCCCGGTGTTCCTGCAGGTAATTATTTCGCAATTCCCATAGGCAGGATCGCATAAGAGGAGGGTTAACGTCCCGTCATGCATATTGAATATCACGGTCTCCGTCCTTGCAGCTGGCTCCGTGCAAAATACCGCAGTCAGAACGGTCTATATCCAGCCCGAATCTGATCGCGTCCACCTCCCGGATGATGTTCATTTCTGCCCCGGTGTCCACCATTGCTACACACTTGGAGCCTTTTACCACTAAATCCACCATGTCGCAGGCCACGCACTTCCAATTCATCTTCGTGCCTGACTTCGCCCATTCTGCCTCCTTGGGCAGAATCGTACCCAGATGGACATTGGGCACCAAGCGCCGCGACAATCTGCCCTTCAGTTCATCGCGGAGCCGCGGGGCTGACGCTAGGATTTCCTTCATGGTCATGAGGTCATTATGCCCCTCCAACAGCCTATCAATTACTCTCTCTACGTCAAATCCCTCTTCCAACCGAACCGCGCATTTCTTCTTTTTGGGTGGTCCGTCATGTATAACCGGTTCGGCCTCTCCTCCGGTTCCCTTTTTTCTTGCCCGCTGTTCCGCTCTTTGATCCTCCTCTCTGCGCAACTTCTCGTCCGCTTCCTCTTCATCATCGTCGTCCTCTACTTCCACAACCTCTTTCCTTCTCCCTGATTCGGGTTCTCTCCTCGGAGGCTCTTGGCTGGCACTGGCCTTGGCTTGATTCCTCGTTCGCGCTGCCTGTGCCAGCCGGGCCTGCGGAGTGAGGGGTCTTCCCCTCATCCCCGATTGTGGGCACGACCCTACCACATTTACTCCGGGTCGCCCAGGTGCTGGCTCCGGGCCGGAGTCATAGAGGAACACTTTGGGGATGTTAGACTTTCATCCCTTCACTTCCTCACAGAGGCCCACCAACTTCTGTTGGTACCTCCCCATCTTATCCAGCAGATCCTCCATTTTCCCAAATAAGACGGACGGAGGCTCCATTTTCTCCTCCTCATCCTCGTCATCTGACTTGATGATTATGGGCTCTTCCGTCTCACTTCCTCCTCTTAGCCCTTGAGCCACTTCCTTATCGCTCTCCACTTCCTCCACCCCAATCGGTGGTTCCTTCTTTTCCTGCCATAGCCTGAACATGGCAGGGAGTGGTGGCCCAGCTGCCGCCCTTCGCTAGGCTTCCGCCCTCACCCCTCCAAGCCTTCTGTCAATGGCCTCCCCAAACTGATCGTAAATATTCTCATCCATAGTGGAGGAAATCAGCCCGCTCCTCTCATCTTCCCGTCTTATATTACAGAACCTTATAGTGTGGCCTTGTTGGTCACAATGTTGACAAATGGCCGTCCTCCAATCAAAACGGGATCTTCCATACCCTTGACTTCCCTGATCCCCCTGGCCTTGATACCCCTGGCCTTGGTACCCCTGACCTTGACTCCCTTGGCCTTGGTACCCCTGGCCTTGACCATTCCATTGCCTCCCTCTTCCGCCGCCATTCCTGCCTCGCCCCCTTCCTCCACCCCTCCCTCCGTTGCCTTGATTGCCTTGCCCCTGGTTCCCACCTCCTGCAACACTGCCCTATGAACTGGGAGCAGGTGATGGTGGCGGGGCCACAGGCTGGGCATGGGCTGCGGGGTAGATGAGTGGTGGCATACTCGTTTGCGGTCTGGCTACTGGCGGCGGGCTTTCCCATGGCACAATTGTATTGATTACCGGCCAGGACCACTGTCCGTAGGAGGGCACCCCACCTTGCGAGGGGCCCGTACTAGATGATGGAGCCGCCACATTTAAAGGGGCTGCTGCCTGGGCCTGTGGCGCTTGCGCTTTTCCTGATCTCTGTCCGCCCTGGGCCAAATTACGCACTTTGCGCTGGACCTTCGTCAGGTGCTGCGGCACCGGCTCTTCCTCTTCCCAGAGCTCCTCCTGAACGACCTCCTCTATCACCGACTCTTTTCCTTTCACTTTGACAGCCGTCACCACCCTCCTTTGCACCACCGGCTCTGTCGCATCCCCTAGCTGTGCCAATACGTCTGTAACAATCCTTGTTACCCCCGGGGTCCCAGAAGCAGTCGCATCTCTTTCGTTTTTCTTCTGCCTTTGCAGGCGTACCTGACGTTGCTCCACCTGGTCCAAACACCCAACTTCCACCCCTCTGTCAATGGTGGTCCAAGTGAGCTTGGTGTTACCTCCTCCATGTCTCGTCAACTCGACGGCCTTCGATGCCGTGAGCAGCCCCAGGAAGATGGCGCACTGTGCTTCCTCCGAAATCCCATGGACCTTCCGCGCCCTTTTCTTAAATTCTTGGACAAAAACCCCTATCGTCGTAAAATCCTCTTTGTTCATCGCCTCAAGGTCCGCGGTAGTCAACAACCCGTCTCCCAGGCGGTACTTCCTCTGCATGCCCTCCTTAAACCTCTCCCAGCTGCCTTGGGCTGCATCTATGACTTTCTTCACCTCTTGGTGGTAGCTGTGGAGGACATTCTGAAGGATGCGTTGAAATTTTACAATGTCCGACCACCCGACCAAAGCTTGTTCCACCCGCTCCAGCCATTCCGAGACTGTTTCTCCACAAAAATGAAAAGTATCGACCTTTGGGATATTGCTCGGATTCCTTTCATGCCGGTCGATGGCTGCGATGAGGTCGTCGAGTGTCAGACCCTTCTTGGGTGCACCTGATGCGCCGCCAGTTTCAGGCATCTTGACAGCCTCTTCTTTTCAAGCTTCCTGATAAGAGAAAGAAAACAAGCATACCCCCTTATTCAACATTACGCCTTTACCGGCCTATTCCACCTGCTTTACCTAACTTTTTACTACATACTTTACTCAATACTAGCACAGTCGCCCTTCATAATTTCCCCTAACTCGTGCAGGTAAATTTTCTCACCTACACTTAGTCACTCATTATTTCTCCCTTACCCTCTCATCATTCCTTTATGCCCTTTTCTTATTCACTTCTCTTACCCGGATGTCGTTCCACCAGGGACAACGGAAGGCTTTCCGTTATCCCCGGCAACGGCGCCACCTGTCGAGCGCATCGGTCCGGCACAGCACCAGGGCAGCGCGGGACCCTCCCGGCCGCGTCACGCAGGAGTTGGTTTAAATCCTTCGTCGCAGATAATATATGTGGAGCTTCCTTAAGCCGCTCCGGCCGAGTGCGCCAACCATACCTCTCGCGAGCCCCTACGACAGGATAGGGCCTACGCGAGGCACAACTTACCTACACCTTACGGGAGCTGTCACCTCCCTTCAGTAGGCGTATCCCCGCCGAGCTACCAGTCCACAGTATGAAAGCTAATTAGTTGCAATCGCAAAGGTGGACCAGCCGAGGGCGTTTCTCGTTCGCAATAGCATAGGGGGTACGCGCGGTAATACGCCTCTATCGAACCCGCACGCGAACCGACATCTTGGGGGGCTGAGGTCCCAAGCGCGATCCGACGTCGGTCGACTAGGACGCATCCCACACACCACGCGCACTCCACTTCACAAACACACATACACACAAAACAACACATATACGAAACAACACAGCACAAACAACGCGATAACGCTCCTAGTCCCTCAGTAGCCAACCCATAACTTTCCAATGCGGAAATAAAATAGGCGTCGCGCGCGAGACTTAGTATAAGACCGCGCGGACGCATGGCTAACTCATATCGACTCGCAATGCAAGCGTATGTAAGCGGTCGCAACGATGGCGTACTATGTAGTACCCATACTTACGCGGTCCTCGTTAATCTCGAGGGTCGCGTTCGACACTCAAGTGTCGGCTGACACGCGCCTTGAGGGTTAAATCTCTCRAYGTTGAACAACCGTCATGCGYGGTTGAAGACCACACCCTCTTCTGCACCCTGTGTAGAGGGGTTRAGTAGACARCTTTAAGCTGTCGTGGYGGTCGAACATCAAGGGGKTTGAMTTTGASGGCTGCCACGGACTAYAACGTYCRACTATAAAAACTCCAAAGAGCAAAARATAAGGGATAGGCCGAAGGCTCCCCGCCTAGTAAACAAAATCWTAGCCCTRGGGTASCCTTCCTTTGTTTCGTGCGGCGTTGGCGGCTTGTAGCAATCTCAAACATTCGCCCATATGTRTCGGTCCCATTTTGTAATCCCATAACTTTTACGCACTAGRGCGCTAAAACATCRCGMGCGRGATTTTAATATAAAGTCGCGCAGCCGAGGRCCTATCTCATACCAACCTGYAAATGCAGGCTTACGCATGCAGTCGCGACGATGGMGTACTATKYAGTGCCCATAATCAAGCGGTCCCTCGTRGATCCGAGTACCRCTTATGACACTCAGGTGTCAGACTYGAAGTGCCGTGAGGGYCTAACCCTTCACGACATTGCACGGCTGAAGGAATAGCCGWRCAACCGCCGCGGCACCTCCGGCTCTCGGCCTGGGTGTCTCGGTAGGCCAATCAAATAGGCTCTGCGCGAGGGAAAACCCCTTCCCTGCGGAGCCTAGGGCTTGGGATGTCCTGGACAAGGACCTCGAATCCCGGCCCAAGACCAAACGTCCTACTAAGAAAATCATCAAAAAGCAAGAAACAAAAAATAGAAGGAGAGGCCTCCTCTAAGCCCCTCAGTCTCAGCTTCTGAGTACGGCTTTAATATGGGGGCCCTTCAACCCATGCAAACACTTATCCCAAGTATACCTATGAATACGTATATAAGGGTTAAGTATGTGACGATCACTTCTCACAGTCTCACTGGGGTCTCTCACAATAATACGTATATATGTGATCGCAGACAACCAAATCCAGAATCTGATTCACAACACACACCTGCAATCACATCAACGAACCAAATCAACAGCCCACACACTACACGGAGTCAACCCCAACCACCTTCGACATTCATACCCCTCGTTTTATCCATGCAAGCCCCAATCCTCCTGTCCAAGCAACCTTAATTAAATACTTAGTACCTTTGTTAAATGACCATTCAATAAAAGCCAGAGTGAAACCATAATGAAACAATAAAAATTCACCAGGGCTAAAGCCTTTTAGGTTGAGTGTGGAAGGAAAGTTGAAATTGAGTCGTAGACCGACGAATCGACAACCGACCTGTTATCAGTGATAACAGAAAGTGATCCTCAAGGGATCAAGCTGGATCTAGCCCTGAACTTGGATCAAATGATCAAAAGGACCTGTAACACACGRCAKACCAATCCCCAAGCTAAGAACATAAGTGTATRGAGAATACAACTCCATAATACAYCCTCACTCAAAATCTCCTTATAAGCTAAACCTAAGTCTATTTTTAAGTYWGTGCTTAAGCCAAAGGTAGAYCAAYTGCAGAATSTCCTYTATTYTGGGYGKGTCGCCTGAATCSCCACCTGTCAAATTATAGTCTATCTCCTCTAAACTAAGAAAATTTCGGCAGCACTTCCCGYAGGAAAAGTGTMTTTTCARAATTTATATAAGCCCWGATATRAGAGCARAAATAATCTYTAACTCCTGGAAARTCAAACTTTGTCTAACTCCTTAATTTTGTAAAAATTTCGGCAGCACTMCTTTTAGAAAAGTGYTATTCCAAAATTTATACAAGGCTAARTTCAGATTTTGAAARTAAACTTTGAYTTCCCRTAGTTYAATTTTTGTCTAACTCCCYGAATTARYAAAAATTTGGGCAACACTCCCTWTAGAAAAGGARACTTCCCAGATTTTAACTAAGCAATATATATGAAAAAGACAAGTTGAACTCTGACAAGTYAAAAGTTGGCTAACTTCTTGGATTTGTAGAAATTTYGGCAGCGCTTCCCGTAGRAAAARTAGCTTGCCAARATTTATASAACGCCRAGTATAAGAAA